GGAGTGTGCAGCAGGGCGAGAGTGTCAGACAGCAGTGTGCAGCAGGGTGAGAGTGTGACAGCAGTGTGCCGCAGTGTGAGAGTGTCTCAGACAGCAGTGTGCAGCAGGGTGAGAGTGTGTCAGGCAGGAGTGTGCAGCAGGGTGAGAGTGTCAGGCTCAGTTGAGGATTAGGACAGAAAGACAGCTGCCCTCTCATAACTTGGCGCCCCTTTGATATGAGATTATCTGCCTCATCCACACTGCCCCTCCCCTCCTCCTGCTCTGCTCTTCCCTCGCTGGTCTCTGTTTTCCTGGGAAAGGTGAGGGCTGACAGTCAGGCGCAGGATTAGTCAGGAGCAGCCCACAGCTTGGAGCAGAGTTAACCCTTCACTGCCTCTGACGAGCTGATACCCGCAGGTGTCTGGGTTTGGAGATTTTAGGAGGATAAAGCCTTGTTCTGGCCCTGCACTGCTCTGATCTTCAGTTTTGTTCCCGGGTTGCGACGCAGTGTTTTCCAGTGTAGGAGCTCGATGACAAACCAGGAGCTGATGGGTGTAGTGGGACTTACAATACTGGACTGAAGTGATCATTAACTCTTCGCTGCCTAGGAAGAGTCAGTAACCCAGCCTAGTCTGTTGGCATAGTTCTGTCAGTCTGAAGTCAGCTGTTATCCATCTGTTTTACTGGCAGCGAGATGCTTGTTCCCTGTAGAATATCTCTAGAGACAGTGTATCCAACACAATAACCACACCTTCTACACTGGACTGTTAATTAGATTTTGGTCAATCTTTCCAGTTCTGATTTTTGGGGAATCTAGATAAACTAACTCTTCCTGTCCTAGACAGAGATGTGGCAAAAGCAATCCTACTGAACTGGGATGAGTCAGTAATGATCAGAACAGCCCTCAGTAGGCCTCTGCTTTCCCACAGGCTTGTAGGCTTATTTACAGTAATATCAGAAACAGAACCTTTAAGAAATTGGCAACACATCTGAGCACTGTTTGGAAAATGTAATTGTCATGCTGCTACAGACACAGCATAGTACTACTGCTCATAAAACTTTCTACACTTTCATTATTGAGCACGAAATAATACTCTCACTTCAGGACAGGCGACGCCCTGTTTTCCAATCTGGGTCTGGGGTGCTGTCTGTGTGGAGTTTGTATGTTCTCTCTGTGTTCACATGGGTCTCCACTGGGAGCGCCATTCCCTCAGTCAATCCCAAAACATGCTTTAATTGGCTTCTGGGACAACTGGCCCTGGTGTGAGTGTGTGTGCTCTGCAATGGACTGGCGTCCCATTCAGGGTGTACCCCGCCTTGTGCCTGTTCATTGCTGTTCGAAAATGCCAACATCAAAGCAGATGATCTCGTATGCACTGAATTGATTAACACAGTTTCATCAGTGCAATCTGATAAGACAGGACTGGGTGAACTGCCTCCGGAAATAGTTGAAGAACCTTAGACCTTTCTGGCTCAACTATTCACAAAGCATAGATGACATCACGAAATCATATGTAATTAGTGAGAGCTCCACAGTTTCTTTACTTTAACCTCGAAGAGCCAATCCTGCACAGACCTATTACCCTCTTAAACACAGACGTGAAGCCTCTTGAAACACGGGAGGTGTGTGCGTTGCCACATCTCTTACCTCTTCCAGACAGTGTGAGGAGCAGTAGAACACCGAATATTAATATATAGAGGGTGGAGCAGAGTGTCAGTCTAGGCGTGTTTTTATAAAACCGTATAAACACTAGAATGACCTCATTCTGGAACAAAGGGCACAATGTATTAAGGTCTATTGGGCTGGAAAAGCTGTCTCCCCAGTCTTAAATACAGAGGACTTTGAGGAGATCTGATACCAGTCTTCCTCCAGGACAGTGACAGAGTCGCCCAAGTGGACCCTTCCAGACCGAACAGAGAAACACAGACCGGAGGAAACTATTCAAGCATTGAAAATGGGAGAACAGAGGACACGTGTTTACACAAAGGGTGGTGGGAGCGTGGAACAAGCTACCTCGCCATGCTGTTGAAGCCGATACTCTGGTTTCTTTCAAGAAGCAGCTGGGGAAGATCCTGGGAGCACTGAGCTACAAACTGTTGTAATCAACAGGCCAGAGGGGCAGAACAGCTCCTCTCGCCTGTAATGGGTCTTTTTGTCTTGTGTTCTAGTGTATTCTACAGCTCAGACTCGTTTTCCACTTTAGCACAGCGTGTGAAAGCATATGGAAATGATCAATTGTTTGAACCTGAAAGCTGAATCTCGAAGTTGCCCTGGGAAGTTCTGCTGAGCGGGAGGGCTTGTGCCCAGTGGCGGCTCTCCCTGGCACCAGGTGATTAATGAGTGTGCCCAGCACAGGGGTCTGCGTGAGGGAGACTATTCACTGACAGTGACTGGGCTATCACCGCCCTGTCACCAGCGCGCGGACACACACGCCGAGCAGACAGGAGGCTGACTGCTGCTGGAGCTGTAATTAATCACCCTGTTTTCATTTCTCCTGAAGACTGGAAAGGGATGAAGCAACATGCAGTTCTCCTGTGAGTTCCTCTCTCAGGCCTCCATCAGTGAGAGAGAGCACTGGGAGTCCATCACTCTCATCCTCCAGCTTCACAGCGTCGAGAGAAACTCTGCCTGACTCTCCCAGAACTTCTGATTATCACCCAGAGAGTGCGCGTGTGTCTTTGTGTGCCTGCAGTGTGAGTGTGTGTGTCTTTGTGTGCCTGCTGTGTGAGTCTTTGTGTGCCTGCAGTGTGAGTGCGTGTGTTTTTGTGTGCCTGCAGTGTGAGTGTGTGTGTTTTTGTGTGCCTGCAGTGTGAGTATGTGAATCTTTGTGGTTCTGCCGTGTGTGTGTGCGTGTGTCTTTGTGTGCCTGCAGTGTGAGTATGTGTGCCTGCAGTGTGAGTATGTGTGTCTTTGTGTGCCTGCTGTGTGAGTCTTTGTGTGCCTGCAGTGTGAGTGCGTGTGTTTTTGTGTGCCTGCAGTGTGAGTGTGTGAATCTTTGTGGTTCTGCCGTGTGTGTGTGTGCGTGGACTGCCTGGTGTGTCACCTGTAGCCTCAGTGTCTGTGAAAGTCTCCTACTCAAGCACAGGCCCTCCAGTCCAGGAGACACTGGATGTGAGCCTGCAGCTCTGGGATTTGGAGAGGAGACGCTCTTTGAAAAGGGCAGCTCATTTTAACCTTCAAGCCTGACCCCTCTACCCCAAACTAAGAAGATCTACCACTGTTCAAAAACAAGCGCACCCCCACCTCTCTCTCTCCATCGCAGGCAGTCAGTGCGCTTTTTGCCTCACAGCTTTACCACATCAGGATACAAGGCTTTTCACGAATTCCGGTTTAAACGGAATTTTGCACAGCTCTGGTCAACCGCAGGCCTGGTATATTTAGCAGAGGCATCCCATAGATCACTGCAGCCTGGCACTGAGCAGGGGGCTCCCCCCGGGGTCCTAACGGACTCCTGCCCCCGCGCCCTGGCTGTGTGTGTGCAGGCCTGCGGAGGCGTGTCTGAGCGGAGACACCGGGCTGGGGAACAGGGCGCAGACGGGCAGGGGACCTGGTGCCAGCGGGCAAGTCTGGAGAGAGGGAGTCTGGCTGATAGTCACAGATTTCCAGAACAAATCAAGACACAGGGACAAACTCACACACACAGAGCACCCCCCACACAGAACCCCCTCACACACACAGAGCACCCCCCACACAGAACCCCTCCTACACACAGAGAACCCCTAATATACACACAGAACCCCTCACACACACACAGAGCACCCCTCACACAGAACCTCACACACACACAGAACCCCCCCCTCACAAACACAGAGAACCCCTAATACACAGAGCACCCCCCACAAACAGAACCCCCTCACACACACAGAGAGAACCCCTAAATCACACACAGACCACCCCCCCACACACACAGAACCCCGTCACACACACACACAGAACCCCTCACACACACACAGTGCACCCCCACACATAACCCCCCCCACACAGAACCCCTCCACACTTATACCATTTGTGTTGTATACGTCTGAGACCTTCCTCCCACTGTCTCCCACTGACTCCCACTGAGACCCAATTCAATTTCATTTCAAGGTGCTTTATTAGCATGGCTGATGTGTACAATCAGTGTTGCCAAAGCAAATAAAACAAAAAATAAAAATAAAATACAATCTACAGACATTCACAACAGAGACATATCATAAAACATATACATATACTGTAAACATATTGAGCATATTGGGAGACAGACTCACTGTTCCTCAGGCTGGGACAGGAGATCACATACTGGGCTGCCAGTTCAGCTGAGTTCCCTCCTCCCTCTCCCAGTAGGATTGGGACCCGTTGTGATTCTGACAGGTGTGGGAACTCTGGGATTAGATATCTGAATTTAGGTGCTCGCTTCGGCAGCACATATACTAAATACACTGACTCCCACTGACTCCCCCTGACTCTCTCTGACTCCCCCGACTCCCCCTGACTCCCTCTGACTCCCTCTGACTCCAAACGTGAAAGAAAGGTTAGTGAAGTGATAAAAAGGTTATTCTTGTTTTTGGGGGTGTCTCCATGTCGTCTGTGCAAGGGTCCCTGTCTCTGTAGAGCCCCACAGTGTAAGTAATACATAATCACAGCCTCTCCTGCACACAGATCCTGATGCATCTCGAGCATCTAGAGACAAGCTCAGTGTTTTAACGTTCAGCGTCCTTTCGGTCCGGACACAGGCACTCACCTGACTCAGTGCTGGGGGTCAGAGCTGCTGTGCTCTTGTGCAAGAGTGCACCCCAGTGGTGCACAGTGACGTGACAGGTGCTGATGAGAGTGAGCCAGCACACAGACACATGTTGTGGCTTAGCAAGGCTGGCTTCAGAGAGGAAACAGCTCTTCATCTCTCTCCTGCCCCACACTGCCTCCCTCTGTCTCTCAGCTCTACCCACTGTCCCACACTGCCTCACTCTCTCTCTCAGCTCTACCCACTGTCCCACACTGCCTCTCTCTCTCAGCTCTACCCACTGTCCCACACTGCCTC